GCAGCAGCAGCAGCAGCAGCAGCAGCAGACTTTGCATTCTCGCGGTTTTTTGTCGAGCGCTTTTTCTAATCGCTTTGAACTCGGAAAGATCTCCATAAAGCTTCACTCTGTGAATATCCTGTCGGAGTTTTTTGCGACCGTCCTTTCGTCAGTGACCGTGACCTTTGTGTCAAGGTTCCGTACAAAGTCCGTTTATTTTTCCTTCATGGTGTGCGGGGTGAGGGAAGGAGGGGTGGGGTGGGGTGGCTGGTCAGGGAAGGAGTGGTGAAGGAGGCAGTGTTGGACATATAGAGCGACTGAATTTCTACGTTCGCTATTTCCTCACTAGGTTGCAGAACTACAAACTAGGTTATAAACAAACGAAGAACAGAACTCCAGGCATAAACAACCGACGAACGAATAAAGCGCACACAAATACGGCCGGCCCCCTGATCCAGCCACATGCAACCGATAAACGGATAGCATGTGACGCGACAGCAAAGTTTGCAGCCAAAAACAACTAACAAAACACGGCAATGCAGAGCAAAAAAGCAAGCAAAGATGAAGGACTAGCCCGCCAGGCAATGTCTGGTGCCAAACTGGCAAGGCGTGGCAAGCAGGACGGTATGGCAAGCTCCATAGCTGGCAGGCTGCTGGCATGGATAGCTGTAGGCTCAGAAATCTGGCGATATGACAAGTTGCTTGTATGGCAACCAAGTAGTATGTGTTGGTATGGCAAGCTACTGCTATAGCAAGCTAAAGAAATGGCAAGCTATTGGTATGGCAAGCTGCTGGCATGGCAATCTACTGAAACGGCAATCTACTTGTAAGGCAAGCTACTGATATGGCAATCTGTCAGCATGGCAATCATCTGCTGGTGTGGCAAGCTCTAGAAGCTGGAAATCTGGCAAGCAGGAGCAGTAAGCAGACGAGATAGCGGCAAATAAATGGCAACGACGACGAGTTGACAGACAATCGTGGCAGCAATCGTGTGAGAGAGTAGACAGCGACAGTACCGTATGCCCGAATCTGCACTGTCCCTCCGCGCCACTAGCTTAGCCGCGTCCCGCAGTCTGAGCAGGCTGTAACAGAAACCATAGAGAACTGACGTGACCAACGCTGGTCCGATACACACACACGCACACACACGCACACACACACACGCACGCACGCACACACGCACGCACGCACACAGACACATGTATACGCACGCATGCATGTACACGTATGTATACGCACACATGCATGTATATGCACGCATGCATGCACGCATGTATACGCATGCATACATGTACACGCACGCATGCATGCACGCATACATGTACATGCATGTACACGCACGCATGTATACGCACGCATGCATGTACACGCACGCATGCATGTACATGCATTTACACGCACGCATGTATACGCATGCATGCATGTACACGCACACATGCATGTACACGCACGCATGCATGTACACGCACGCATGTATACGCACGCATGCATGTACATGCACGCATGCATGTACACGCACGCATGTATACGCACGCATGCATGTACATGCACGCATGCATGTACAC